AGAGGTCAAGCAGTGCATTGTACTGAAACTTGTCAAAGCAGATTTCTTTACAGTGGAGGTCTGTTGAGTGCTTATATGTAAAGATGATCATGGTAAAATAATGGTGAATCTAAAGGAAAAAAATATTTTTTACCTTACAACACACTGCATGTATCACCCCGCCATCAATGTATTTTAAAATAAGAGTTCAAGGGGAAAACTTTATCACAGAACTATCATTAAAAACAGTGTCTCAGCCATCAGCCATGATATTCATAACCATTTCCTGTAAAAACTTTCTGAGAGATTGCTTTTAGAGGCATTAAACATCCTATCACCATACACTGTTAACAATTCTGACTCAGTACGTTTCTGTAGAATGGAGCATTTCATATCAAATCACTCTGAATAACTTTTTCATATCACAATGGTTTAATTACAGAGAAATGTTGAAAAATCCCCTTTAAAATTTTGTTCATTCACTATAAAGCTAATATAAAGTTATATAGCTATTAAAGTGTGGACACATTTGGGCCCTTTAGAGTTTTATATGTTAAAGATGCTGTTAAACTAGCACTCACAAACATTATTTCTTCTGCACTTTAGTGTTTTGATATAGAAAGTAACCTGGCTGCTTAACAGTTTTGATTTTATTGAACCTCAGACAGTAATGTTGCATAAGAGAAATAAAACAATGTAAAAATAACTTAAAATAATCTAATGTAAGATGTAATGTTATTTTTCTTTTCACTTACTTTTAGCAATTAACTACATGTTTAAGACAAAAAGATTACTTATGTTTTAGGTTAAAATAATTTTTACACAATTTTTACAGCATACACTGAATGTAGTTTTCCATTCCATATAAATAAACTTTTTAAATGACAAAGTTAGAGTGAGATAGACAGAGAAACAATCTTGAATATCATCGACAAATGGATGACATTTAACATGATATTTAGGCCTGGCGGCCCTTTACAAGAACTCATCATTACAGGACCACAGTAAAGCACACTGAGCCCACCTGCGTGTTTGCCCTGGGGTGCGTGAGACAACGCGTGTGACTGCATACGTGTGTATGAGCGTGTTCATGTGATTTCCAGTGTGCGAGTGTTCGAGGGGAAAGGCCCAGAGAGAGGAGCCAGAACAGGAAGTACGAGGCAGACCACACACAGCTGCAGCATGGAAGCAGTGGGTGTGAGGAAGTGTGTGGGAGTGTGACATTCAGAAAACACACACAAACAGCCATATTCAGCAAGGCAGAGAGAGAGAGAGAGAGAGAGAGAGAGAGAGAGAGAGAGTGAGAATAAAAACAGATGAAGAATCATAAGCAACATCATGGGGAGAATTACATGATAGGAACTAATGAAGCTTAAAGGTCCTTTTAAGGACATCTTTATCAGACAGCATCAGTTCAGCTAACACAGGCCTTAGCTCTTCATTTTCACCTGCTCTGCAGAAACCGTCCAGAACCATCAAATGTATCTGGAACCAGTCCCAGGACACATGTTAAACCATTACAATCCTTTACACTGTGATATCGACCCATCAGGAAAACCCAAAATACCATTACTGACTATTGTACACAGCCAGGAACCAACAGAAACCTTTAATGGTTTCTATGAGTTTGTTCAGCAGAGATCTGGGTGGCTGACGGTTGGTGTCAGTTAAAGTGCCGGACGCTGAGAGCACGCTAGGCAAGCGGGCAAAACAGATGAAATGTCCATCAGGCCCAGGTGGGCACGGCCAGAGCTGTGCCCAGTGCCAGGCCAGTCTGTAGGGCTTTCCGCCTGAGCAGGTGAGGAGAATGGAGCAGTGGGAGAGGAGGCCTGCGCTGCTGCAGCATTAACCTAATTACAGCCTGGCCCCGCTAAATAAACACTTATTAAATTTGCATGCTCAAATACACTTATGCGTGGACTGGGTCACAGTGCATGCTGCCTTTTGCTGCCACTCAGAGAAGAACACCAGGAATCTACAAACTGTGTTCACCCAATGCCTGACCACAACGGATTTGCTTATGCTAAAGTCAGATAGGTTTTTGTCTCAGGTGTCACTGGAGTGCCAGTTTGTGCTTGACATATAAGTACACATTACTGCAAAAACCTAAAGATGGCAGAGTGCATGTAGAGTCCTCTGTGTTTTTTTTTTACAACAGACATCTGAGGGAAAATGAAGGAGTAGGGAACTTTAATATCACTATTAAAAGAAATTTACAGAAAATAAAATGAAAGCAAACATTAGATTTTAGTAGCTCAATAATTATACTAGTAATGATCCAGCCAGTATATCTCCCATAGGTATGGAATCCACACTGTCTTCCACTGACTGAACTCATATAATACGTCATTAAACAGTTTACTGGTTTACTGCACAACACTGCCCCCAAGTGTGTTTAAGGATTGTTTACAACCAGCTTTTCTGGCTCCTAGCTTGATCTTAAAGGGGAATTCCACTGATTCTAAAACAATTCCACTTTTTGTCACTGAGATGTAAACAAAGTCATTCATAGTGGTCTGATGTGAGATGGTTTACTGTAGAGAAATTACCAATTTTGATTTTCTTTACAGTGGTGGAGAACCAGGAGGCACAATCTATACAAAATTATAGCAATTTTATTTATCATCTAAAATGGCCAGTGAACCTACAGGTGTCTTTTGAGTTTTATGTATTGTGATGATGACAAAATAGTGGGACATCTGAAAAAAAACAAGATATAACATTTCAAGTATTAACTTTCTGTGATGTAGCATTTTAAGAGCACTAAATGCTTAGAAGACCAGGTCCCTACGACCACTGCTGTGAACAATTCTGACTCGACAAGTTGATGCAGAATAGAGCTAGAACAGAGCATTTTCATCAAACCACTCTGAATGATTTTGTTTACATTTTATTTATTAAATTAAGCAGAATTTTTTTTAAAAAAAACTGGCAAATTCTTCTTATTTCAAGCTAAATTCCATCTTTATTTCAGGCTATCAATGAAGCTCAGCGAAATCAAATCACAAATTAGGAATGAAATATTTTAACCTAGTAAAATATATTTTTACAAAAAAAAAATATTTTACACAGCAAAAACACAGGATTTGTAATATTAATGGTTTTAAATATTAGAGCTGGACAGTATTGAGTGCATTTACTCAGTTACATGTACTTAAGCAAAATTTGGAATAATTATTTATTGAGTATTTTCTCATATTTGCGAGCCTATATTATTATTTAATGTAGCAAATACATGCTTGTGGGTGCACACATTTCTGCCTGTTCTTACTGTGAACGTTGGTAGGTTGTGATGGTTCTGAACACTAAAAGGCCAGTCTCTCAAAAACAATGGAGATCTGTAGATCTTGCTACTTTTATACAAATTTGGCATAGACTGCTCTGCAGTTTTCATCACATATTACTTATTCCTGTGTAAATGTAGAGTTACAGTTATAATTTTAGTAATCAGTGTGTATTATGTGCATTCTTTCTGTGTACTGGTGGAATATCTTCGCTATAGGGATGAGATAATGTAACCTCAGTCAATTTCACACCTGAACAACAAATAAGGCTTGAAGGGAGTATTTTAAGACAAGCCATTCTAAGTTTGAAAAACATAAGTTGGACCAAGCAGCTTAATGAGTCACTTGGGGGCATTACCCCTCTCACCCCTCGCCAGTGCGAAAGAGTTGGTTTAGTGTTCAGGAGTTTGAACCATACTTTTTTCCCCACATTTACAGAACCATGGTGGAACTTTTAATGATATTTGTAAAGCATCCTAAATTGAAGTTCCCATACGTGGACAGCAGAGGTGGACAAAGTACAAAACTTCTGTACTTCTTCTGTGACAGAAGAAATACGCTTCATAAAATATTACTTGAGAAAAAATAGCTATACTCTTCAAAACGCATCCACCTGAGTTAAAGTACATGCCTTTTAAGCTTTTTAAGTCTGCAGTACAGACCTCCTTTAACAGATATTGTTCACTGAATATCACAGTGCATTTACTTTTTAATGATCTAAACGCAAACACTTTCAGACTTTAACTTAAGTAGAAATACAGATAGAGAATTTACTCGTCATGTTTTATCACAAATATTTCTACATGCACTCAAGCAATGTAGAAATAATATATTTTGTCCACAGGGTTGGACAGAATACTTTGAAAAAGTAGTGATGAGTGAATACTGAACACAAAATGTATTCCGTAATGCATCCCATTACAATACACTAAAAAGTAATGTTTTGTAGTAACCTGCTACTGGCTAGCGCTGACTCTGAGGAGCTCGGAAGGTGTAGTCAAGCGAGCATCCACACACGGGGACTCGTGGTAGGCAAGTGCCATCCTAAAAAGGGACTTATCGTTGTTGTTAACGCCCCTTTATTGGTTTAAAGTTATGTGTACGTGTTTATAGTGTTATTCTGTGTCAGTGGGTTTAGTTACTGTGTTCTGTGTTGGGGATTGGGCTAACATCAGGGTGAAGCCAGTAGTTTGTGGGGACCTCCTCTGTTTCTCTACTCCAATGCTACAGTATTCAGAATACATTTAGAATGCATCTTGATAAGGATGCATGAGGAGATGAATAACTGTCTCATCACATTGATTTAGCAGGAATTTCAGTGTAAAGAAGCTGTTGAGTTCCTCTTTACAGTTAATGAGCATGTTTGCTACATGCCATGTGCTGATTTTAAAATTGTCAATAAACAAGCATTGATGGTGTTTCTTTAAAAGATGATGTACATTTTTTTTTTTAATTTGGTAGTATTATAAAAGTATTCTTCTAAAAATGTAAACGTAAAGTAACTGTATTCTGAATACTGTCTTTACGAAATGTAATTTGGAGTGAATTCAGATACTTAATTTCTGTATTCTGAATATTCCCAAAACTTCTATTATGTTACATCTCGACCCTGTTCGTCCACCTCTGACAGACAGACTCTGTAGTCGCTGAAAGCTCTCCAGATTAGCTTCATGTAGTCTCTGGATTAAGCCCGTCCTTATTCCAGCGCGCGTCAGCATAATTCCCCGCCGAGGCGCCTCAGACTCGCTTTTCTGTCCCTCTCACAGCTCCGTCCCTGGCTGCGGCTGTGCCCTGCTGACCGTGGGCACGAGGCGGTTACTCTCCCACTGTCAGGGCACTGACCCCCTCTCCCTCCCTTTCTCTCTCTCTCTCTCTCATTCTCTCTTTCTTTCTCTGTCCCTCTCTCTCCCCTGCTCTCTCTCCCTCTCCCTCTGACTGCTGCTCAACATCCTAATGCTCTTCTGCACAAGATGGCGGAGCCGAGCATGGAGAAGGACGCAATAGTGAGTAACGGACACTGCTAAAATCTTACCGTCTTTCATGTTTTATGTGCCAAATGCATGAACGCGATACGAGCCCGCAGTGAATTACGGCGTGTAAATCCTGAGCGCAGACAGTCCTGCGTTGCGGCTAATGCGCGTCGTGTTAGCGTGTCTGTCTCTGGAGCAGCGCAGACTTATTTCGCCCCAAACCTTTAAGAAACGGATTTCTGGGCGATTTGGATTAACTGCAGGGCCTCAGACTGGGAGAAAAAAGCCAGGCCGTGATGCTCTTCTCCATGTCGTAATATGTTGTTTTGTCTAGCTGGCCTTCCAGAAATGGCAGTGGTAAGGTGTGCACTTTGGCATTGTTACTGTGTGCATCAGCACGCTGGGCGCTTTAAGCCGTCTATCCACATTACATGCGACATCATATCGTCTCTAATTAGCCCGTATAGCAGCATTTGCGGTCATTTTTGCTCCTGCTAAATCGCTCTTTCTGTCTCTTTCTCTCGGATGAACCTGCAAGAACACCGAAGATGACCATCTTAACAATTCATTAGGAGACCCTGGCTTGATCTCCCCTGACAAAGAGGATATCTCACGGATTCTGGTAGAGTAGCCCCGCTATAACACTGGAAATCTGTGGGTTCTTCTGCTACCGCAGTCAGGCTAGTCTGCTCTGATTAATCCTCCCCGATTTTAATCTTATAGACGGTTCCGTTCAAAGGACGGATCAGAGGTGGGATGAGGCCAGGGAAGAAGATCATCGTCATGGGCATTGTGGATCCAGAGCCATTCAGGTAGGCGAGCATTGGAATTTAGTGTTGTAGAAAAAGGCATGTGACCCTACAGAGCATTATCACCAGTATTAGGAGCGGTTTAGTCTTACCTGGGTGCCAGCCTCCTGCTGGAGCATTCTTATTACAGGCAGGGCATGGCCTTTGCTTACTGGACTACAGCTGAAATGGACTGTGTGGGCTCCTGTGTGTGTGTGGGTGTGTGGGTGTCTGTGCTCCATGGGCGTTCACCTTCTCTGCTACAGAAAGTGATCTCAGAGAGTTTGTGAGGTGTGTCACTGAAACCAAAAGTCCAAATGTGGCCACAATGATAAACTTTAATCCTGTTTTGGCTTTTTTTCTTTCTTTTTTTTTTTAACTAAAGCGTTTTTTGTTTCTCATTAACACATTTTCAGTGATTCAGGCTACATTTTTACTCACTCACTGAGACCCTAGACTTATTTTTCAATAATGATTATTAGGCTATTTGATAACTACTATGAACCTTATATGTAAGCTATGTAGTTGAGAATGAGCAGCTGAAATTTAGGCTTAATGCATAGACAGATAAATCATGTCACAAAAACAGCCCACAAGAGGTGCTCAGACCAGTTAAATCAACAAATTATTTTTTCTTTTTTGATATAATTTGAAAATACTAGCTTTTCTTTACACTGTGTGAAAATGTAATGACAAATAGGCAAACAGAAATGGTCAAACATTACTTGGAATTAAATCTTTTTTACATTAATTTACATTGTTAAACTTTAAGGATGTTTTCTCCTTCTGAAAAGTTTCCATTTTAGAGAGATGAGGATTTGTTCTGACAGTGACAATATGTCTCTTTTACAGTGTCAAATAGTGAAACTGTAACCAGGTGGCCTAATTTGATCATGCTTTAGTGACGATTGGCCCAAGTGCCAAGCACATTGCCAGTATTTGGATTTGTAGGCCTTCTGGTGGAATGTATAATTACTGTTTATAATAATGTGTGCAACTGTGCTCTCAGAACAACAGTGAAGGAAATACCCTTGAGCAGTATTGTTTAGCTTTGCTAAAACATGTTGTTTATTGTATATGCCAGTTACACTATACGTTAAATTTTAAGGCACTTCACTGTAAATGCTGTGCCCAAAGGATCATTTGTCATGTTTTTCCATGCTGAATCTGTGTTCTCTGTTCAGTTTTGATGTCAGTCTGACCTGTAGCTGCAGTACAGAGAAGAATGAAGAAGAGCTCACAGATGTGGCCCTGAAACTTAGCGCCAGATTTGCTGAACGGCAGTTCCTGCGGAATGCGAGGATCTCTGGCAAGTGGAGTGAAGAAGAGGCTGCCATTCCATACTTCCCTTTCATTCAAGACCAGCCGTTTAGGGTAATTAACAGACCTTACTCTATAGGTGTCAATAGTAAAATCTTGCTAAATCAATATTGACAGTCAGGTGTGTTAAGATTTGCCACCTTATGCAGAGATATCTCAGAAGTCTTGAGTTCTAAAATCAGAAGTCTTGGGTGGTGGTTTTGGCAAGGGTGGAGTCCCACTGAATGTTGCAGGAAAGAACAGGGAAGAGTTCAATATGGCTTAATCCAGTGAAATCTTTAGGTAGACCGACAGATATGGAGAGAGAGAGAGATAGATGTGCTTTATTGATCCCCAGTGGGAAGTTTACAGAGCTTTAAATAAAGCTTTGAGACTGCGAAGCTTGATTTATTTAAGTGCAGCTTTTGCAGACAGGCATTAGAAACAAAAGGATGGCATCTGTTTAGGTCTATCACAATTAATCAATCAAACTCAAGAAAAAATATATTAATATTTGTCTTCCTGGCAGCAACTAGTTGGCATAATTTGAAGAAACTGAGACTGATACACAGTCACCCATTTATATGCATTTTTTGCTATGTAGAGTATATATTAGATACTTACACACACATATATACATTCATATATAAAGAATTTCTAGGCTTCCTAGTTATCCCGTTCCATTAATGTATTTTGGAATATTTGAAAAGTTATGCATGGATTGTTGATGTTCAGTTAAGTTAATTGTTAATTGGCCTTTTTTAAAAACTCTGATTGCTCGATTAATCGTTAAAAAAAAAACCCAGTAGATTACACAATTACTCATATAATCAATAGCGACAGCCCTACATCTGGCTATGCAACAGCCACTAGCTTCATGTGACCTAAAACTAACCCCTGCACCACAGCATGGCTATTTCCTTTTTTCTGCCACTTAGCTGTTGAATTTTTGTTGTTGAATCTGATTGTGCCGGATTAGAGAGCGATGTTGATGAGGGCTGCACTGATTGTATGTTGCATTATCACAGCCTGCTCTATGTCCTTTCATAACTGAAAAAAGCTATAAATACTGTGTTTTAGGGATGCAGGATGTACTATCATACATCCCTAATACTATGTTTTATCATGTCCTGTAAGCTTGATCACCAATTCTCATATGCCTCTGAGTTGGGTTTTGTGAATGTGAAGGCATTCACGATATCCAACAAACGTTTTTAATACATTTACATGGTTTTAATACATTTGCAGTTCATATAACTATTTAAGTATGATACTACCAGTTAGGAAATGCTAAATCATTCATTGAAGCATGCTGCTTTTTTAAGGTAACTTCTGGAATGAGAAAATGCATACCATCTAAATAACCTGGAATAACAGTGCAAAATCTATGGTCACTGATGTTCAGTAGACGAAAGAGGGGAAAATCGCTTTGCTATATGAGCTGTACAGTGACTGAAGGTAAAGATGGCTGAGATAATGAGGTTGGTGAATGGGGCTGGAGAAAACAGGTCACTCCACTTTCAGATCAATCAGTGATCCAATACTGAGCTGAGATAAGCATGCAAAACCAGACCAGTGTTTCCTTTCTGCAATCTGCCCACAATATGGGACTCAGTGACTGAAAGGGTTTTTCATTCTCTGTCCTTCCCCCTCTCTCTTTCTCTCTCTGAATGTACCTTTTTTCCTGTATTTTTGCTCCTTTTTTCACAGATTGAGATCCATTGTGAACACCAGCGTTTTCGGATCTTTGTGGATGGACATCAGCTGTTTGACTTTTATCACAAAGTAAAGTCTTTGTTGACCATTGATATGATCAGGATAGATGGGAGTCTACAGATCACCAAGCTAGGCTAAATCCCAGCACACCTGAGCATGCTCCAGAGAGAACTTCTGACAGGGGACCAAGCCCACCTGCGTGTCGCAAGGCAGTGACAGTGAAGGCCTCTGGGCTTGTGCTCCCGTAAAGACATCATCACCGCCTATATTTCCTCACTCTGTTCTTTCTTTTTCCTTATCCCCTTCTTCCAGCTACACATTGAAGGTTGAAATGTAACAGGTGAATGGTTGCAATGTCAGCTATGTGTCTTTTTGGATGTTCCTGAAATCACAACTGTAGCTTATTTTGTTTTTGTGTAGATTATGTTTCAGGGACCGTGTGTAATTGTATGCACTCTGCGGTACGACACTGCGCCAGGGGAATCTTGCTGCTCCAAAAAAGGTACTGCCTATTCATAGTTCTGCGCAGTGCTGGTGAAAACTTTCAGGGACTCAGGAAATCAAATATGGTATGTGTGTTTAAAAATATAAAGCAAAATGAGTAAACAGGAGGACTGGAAATGCTCATGGAAAGTAGTCTCAAATGTCTTTGGATTGCTATAGTCATAGATTGCTCTAAGCATTTGTCGTTCCACCCAGATTTGGTGTGTTGCCTGTGTCTGTGATTTATATCAGCTTAATGACCTAAATAAGAGGCAGTGAGGATTATTTGGTGAGCTCTACGTTGCATAGAATCATCTACGATTGATGATTATGTAAATACCTTAGCTACACTGGGCAACTGCTGTTCATTGCAACCATTCTTTTTTCTGGGAATAAATATCTTGCACTGACTTAATGTAGAATGTAGTACATACAGATTTTTGTTTTTATTTGAGTTAGGTGTTTGAATACCAGAAATTAAGAACTGGTCAATGAAGTTTGCAAGATCATACAAGCCATTGAAAACAATAACAAGCAATCTATTACAACCAATCTAAGAATTAAAAAAATTAATACAAGGTACAAGATTACAAAGTGTACAAAGCCCATGGTAATTTTTTTGTGAATTTATGTTAGTCAAATAGCCGTTTTGCCTGTTTTTTCATAGGAAAAAAATCGACTTTGCAAAATGTACACTTACAAAAACTCACCTCCTGATGTTTACATTCTCTGTTGTTTCCGCTTAGTGGAAATTATGTCTGAAGTAAAATAGGGCTGAATCGTTTCTTGAATGTAACGTTATGAACTCGATAGCTAATAGGGAAGAAGAAGCAAGCTTAGCTATAAAGTATCTTAATTAATAGCACTAATCCATATTGTTTATATTATATAACTTAACCTTTGTGTCATTCCGTACACAGTTATGTCTTGGATTACAATGCCAAGGGGTGGCCTGTGTTCAATAGCTGTGTCTTTCTCTCTGCTTTGTTATATTCAAGATGTCTTTGATATCTTTCTACTCTTCCCTGAACTTTAAGCACCCTGTGGGTTTTCCCCCCAGATGGAAGGGCATATGTTCCCATAAGTGTTTTTTATCACCTCTGCATCTGCTTACATATAGAAGATTATGGTAATTAGTATCAGCATCATTTGTAAGCTATTACTAATTATCTACCATAACCCAAGGCACAGACTGAGTCTCATGTCTCAAGCAAAAGTACAGTATTCTTGTCATATAAGGGATGTCTCTGAAGTTCTTCATTGATAAGTATTTTATTGGGGCACTGCTATATATATCTTTTAGGTATCTAAAGGGATGTGACATGCCTCCCGTAAACAGAGTAAAGACTAAGATCGTTAAGCTGTAAGTTTTTTTTACTCTTAAGCTGTACGTTTTTTTACTCTGCTGATGGTCACTCTGAACTGAATGACCCTATCAGAGCACAGAATGAGACTCAGAGCTCTTTATCCAGCTGAACTCAGATCGATTGTATTCACATGAAATTTATGGTTTATGATGTATTGATTTATTTGATTTGTGGTTTATTAGCAGGCTTTGCTCTGCAGGTGCTTAAACCTACACTTTAACCTAAAGAGTCATGTAGCAATTGTCCAGTTTGTGCCATAAATTGGTGTTCTGGCATTGCTTCGTCATCTTAAGCAAAGTATTTTGCAGTGGTACCAGTAATTTAGCAATACAAGAATATGGCCAATTTATTGGCCACACTTTTGTTTCTTTTCTTTCTTTTATCAGCAGTTCAAATATCAGTCTTCCACAAGCAAACAGATTCTGATGTGAGGTATGACTAAAGGATGAGGTCAATGATGGATAGAGATGAGGTCTCCTATGGGTTTTAGAGATTTTCTGTCATTTTTACTTATTTTTATCTTTCTTTATACCGATCTTACAATGACTAAAGTTGTTCGACATAGTTTCCACATAGGAGTGTGCTTTGGGGTAGCAGAATCCCAGTGCTTACTGTTTCCTCTGCAATTATGATAAATTATGATGTTTATAGCAGGAAGTTAGAAGTGAAAGAGGTTTGTTGTGTAACCACCGAAAGAAATCGATTAGAAAGTGGAATTATGGGCCCATTTTAGGTGGAAAAATAGCATAACTATGTGGAACAACTGAAAAAGGTCAGTAGATAGGAAGTAAGTTCATTATTATTATTTTTAATTTATGAGAATATCAGATGTATGGACCATCACCATGCACCTGAACAGTATTGAGGTTTAATCGTTCTTCATGTGACGTATTACTTTTATGCATTCCATCTGGTGCTGTTTGCTTGTTCAGAAATGATTGTGTTTGAACCAGCACATCGCTCTTGGTACCATTAATAGTGTATGGCTGCTGTGTGAGGCCATCTGAAGGACACTGTGCCCTGGAGGAACGGGGAGGGACTGAGCTGATCTGTATCTCATAGACAGCTTAGTGAAGAGTATGAGAGCCGAATAAAGAGAATCCGTTTTTAAAGTGACGGCTCAGTAAAATTGTACAAAAAAGACAGCTCTTTTGTACAATGACAGCCATCACTCAGAACCCCTCATCTCTTGATTTCCCTTATTTCCCTTCAAAACTACACAGTAATTTTGGATCCAGTGTTTTGCTTAAGTGCATGGGCTGTTCTCTGCTCCCTGTGATCCAGATTGTCCTCTAGGGTCAACAGATGTTTAGCCAGTGCGTTGTTTTTTGACTGTAGTGTAAAATTCTCTGAACAGATTTGAATGGATTTGACCTGAATGCCGTTGTCCCTTATTGTAGACTATTGTGTTCATGACTTTGGATGTACATAATATTGAACAGGGTAAGAGTGAGTTCATTTTCTATTTAATGTCATTGAGAGTGAGTGACAGTGTGTGAGATATTTAATCCAAGTGTTTCTAGCTTAAGTCATCATGCTTCTAGTTGCATAACTTTCTTTTAAATTACATAGCATGGTAATTAAGACATTTTTCTAGCAGATGTTTTGTAGTTTGCCATTTCGCTACTGTGCTGAGGAAGAGCCCAAAGTGTTGATTATTTGATTTTGGGTTTATTTCACATGTATTTACACAGTGGCCTATTATGTAGAACTAGATTGTGCTGTCAGACATGTTAAGTGTGGTTGTACAATCAATTTGGAAAGTTAATTGAATGCCTGAGGTGTAGACATTGGCTCTGTGTGTTCCTACAGCTGCAATTTTATTTAAAGATGTGCCTATGGAATAACGGCTTTGGTGTTTGGGATCCAAAATTTTAACTCTTACCAAATTATATCACCAATTGGCTTAGAGTTTCTTGAGCACTTTCCAAGCTATGCTTAGGATGTGTAAGAAATAATACTGAACTTCTGTAATGTAAAAGCACTTTTTATAATGTATGTGTTGACTAAGTGCAGCCATTGTAAAATATCAAATAAAAATCACACACATTTCCTGACTAAGAAATACATATTTGTTTTTTTCTCTCTCCCACAGGTATTTACTATAAATGAATATTCATACAGTGGACATTTCTGTCATACTTAAAATGCATTATGTTTGTTTTTTCAGGAAACAAAATGGCAAACCAAGTGGTATTTGTTTTACACAGACCATTCCAGGACATTTTCTTTTTAGCAAAGTATTCTTTTAAAAGGTGACAGTGTGAAGAGGTTTTTGCAGACTTCTCCAGGTTTACATCCAAAATGCCTTTGTATACTTCTGAGTTTATGATTCCATCAATGAAGCTCACCAACACCAGAGAAGAACAGCCCCAGACCCTGTACCCTTGGTGCAGTCGGGTTGGAATTCTTCTCCAGGCTTTCTCCACACAAAGAGTCAACTGTTTGATTTTGTGTTAAAAGCTTTTTTTTACTGAAACAAATCTAATTTTGTTAAAACATTTCATGATGTTACCTAAAGAACTTAAAATTCACCAATGAATAAATGGTTAAAGTGGGCCCACTGTATGTATTTGCAGTCATTTAAACAAAAGGACCCATATGATCTATTTTCCGTATGATCACTAAAACAGGACTGCATTCAAACAAGTGCAGATTAAATCTAATCAGAAATAAACAAACATTGGTGTGGTCGGTTGCCAACATTCAGACTGTAGTGTATAAGGCAACCTGAACAGCAAACAGCAAATCTGAAATAGAATTTAAACCAAAAACAGTCCTGATTGGAGATCAGCAATAAATTATACAATAAATTATAGTTAGCAAACAATAAAGTATTTATTGTGTTTGAAGCCAGTTATACTTGTTCTCATTCTGTAAGCACTTGGTCCAAAAACGGCTTGTCAACTTACTGTTTTTCAAACAAGAGCCTCTTTGTGCTGTCTCTCTGTGAAGCGACTTTGTTTACTTTGATTACAGTGCTGTGGTGCATTGCATTGTTATACAGGCATTTCCTGACTGTTTCATGAGGGCCAAGGGGGTCAAGTGCTTTGTCATACCTCATAAACTGAGCTTTACGAAGCAGAAGATTCTATATACATTTGCATATGATATTATATAAATTAGATGCAAATCATGTAAATAAATCAGCCTGTATGTACAGGGACAGCAGATGAAAATTAGCCCATTTGGCTAAATGGAGCACATGTACATCATGAAATTATCTTGATTATTATCCAGTGTTTATCAAAATAATACAAATAATTTTCGGTATGATTAAATAAACAATACATATAAATGATTTGTATTATTTTAATTGTTTTAAAAGTTTGATTTTTGAGTTCTACTTGAGGTTTTAGCTCCCCCTACTGCCATTTAAAAGCTACTACAGTATATTAAAACACATCAAGGCAACAGTATCCATCCATCCATCATCTAAACCGCTTATCCTTCTAGGGTCGCGGTGGGGTGCTGGAGCATATCCCAGCTGTCATTGGGCGGAAGGCGGGATACACCCTGGACAGGTCGCCAGTCAAGGCAACAGTAAGTAAAAGCAAAATATTTTTCTGGAGAACAAGAAGCAGGATATAGATGAATATTATATCAGTGTTACTAATATAAATATAGGCAGGGAAAAACATATCTAAACTCAGAAAAGGATCTAATTTTCAGCTCAAGCCAAACAACGGGCCAGGTTGAACAGATTTAAAGCTAAAATAAGTTATTTACTATTAAAGCATGAATTGACATCAGTCAGCATCCAAAGATTCACAGCCGTTTAACAGCCTGTGTCAAAAACAGTTATGCTTTACCTGAGTGTTTACCTGTGTTTATAGAGTGTGTGAAGTGGGAAGACTAAGGAAGAGACCGAGGATGCTGGCTGAAAAAAGGAGGACAATTGAAAGAGAGGATGTTGGCTGAAAAAAGTAAGAAAAGCTTTAATTTAGTTAATGGACTAAGGCTTTCCCTACGGATCTCGTGTTCATGAATACAGTTTCTTTTATCCAATACTCATGTAGTACTGGTTAATTATGGTAATTATGGTGATCAAGTGCTCTCCTGGTGTTCTTTTGGCATTAAAACTCTATTGTGTGCACAAGATCATATTTTGTGTAAGACTGAATATTATCAGTTGTAAAGTAACAGTCTGCCTGGTTGCTTTCTGTGCAGTTTTCTTGGTCTATATACGTTTGCTTTGTAAAATTGAAACAAATCTAAAATATAAATAAAACAAGAACCAGAATAAAGTTGTTGGCAACTTTTTTCTAAAAATAAGAGATTGATTTTAATTTAGAATATTTTGTACTCCAAAAAGGTTGCGTGAAAGTCTTATTAGACTCTAGTCGTAGGGCAGAAGTTAGTAAACTGACGTGCATTTCTCTCAGAGCACCCTGCTCCAACTTTTATACAGGGAACTCTGAGACACGGGGGATTTTTACATAACTGTTTGGATTTGGCAACCCTGCCTGAGAGCGACTCCTGCCAGTGCAGCGCTGCTGAGGTTGAGCGTAAACCTCGCAACTTACAACATGGCAGTGTTTTGCAGATCGGCTGTTTCAATTTTGAAGCCAGTTACCTTTATTCCGTCTGCATCTGCAGCTCTCCGACAGTACAGCTCAGGTAAATGTACCTATAAAAGCGCGTTTGAATGTAGGTGAACTGTCTTGTGTTCAATGTGACCCGCTGACTGGCTGAGCTCGGTCTGTCTGTGTGCGTCATTACGGTTCAGCGCTGCTCTGAGCGCCTCGCTTAATGTCACTAGCTTGATGGCTAAAACACTAACAGCGCACGACTGGACACTGGAGACCATCAATAAAAAGTCTGCAATGTGAAATTGAGTGGACGCAGTTAGCCACATTTGTGAGCTGTTTATTAGTTGACTGTATTTGGGTAGTTGCTTCCCAAGACGTGCACGTTTTGCTAGCTAGCTAAGTTAGCTAACTTAACATACGAAGGCTTTACGTAGGTCTGCTAGCTTAGCTTAAACGCTAAAGGAGTCAGGCTGGCTAGCTAGCTAGCTGTCTGTTATTCAGTTAGCAGTTGGACAACCACTGCCTAAAAACAGTGAATCGCCTTACCGTTAGCTAGCTAAAGAAAGAAAGAAAGAAAGAAAATATTTTCTTGAACATCAACCTGAAGCTGGCATGTTCCTCAGTGTACAGTTATTTAGTCTAACCTTGGCAAATGTAGCATATTTGAGTGGTGACATACCTTTTGAGCTTATCAGGGTCAGAGTCAACACCTGCTTTAAAGCCAAGTGAACGTAGGCTTCACAAACAACAACTAGCTATTTTGTTTTTATTTCTATTTATGCGCTTAAATGCCTTCGTGCAGTAGTGTTACGTCTGTTATATCAGTTTAACAGTTCTAAACTGATTAAGAAAATCTCTTTCCTAGCTGGGCATTCAGACAACTACAAACCAGCTAAGATTAGGGATAAAAGTGCAATATTGAGTGTAGTAACTCGCTGAAAAAGCGGTACATATGGATTTTTTTCCTATGTCTCATAGGTGGCCAGTACCAGTATATCCTGGTTGACAAAAAAGGAGAAAAGAAGAATGTTGGTTTCATCCAGTTAAACAGACCCAAGGCCCTGAACGCCCTCTGTGATGACCTGATTCTCGAAGTGAATCAAGCCCTGGATAGCTTTGAACAAGATGGTGAGGTTGGAGCAGTAGTCATCACAGGCAGTGAAAAAGCATTTGCAGGTATGGAATATGAGATTCAGATATTATTTACGTAATTACGTAAAGTATGGATTCTTCAGACCGTAAGATACATGTTTCATCCATATCCTGGTTTTGTTTAGCTGGGGCCGACATCAAAGAGATGCAGAATAGAACTTTTCATGAGTGTTATGGTGGCAACTTCTTGGCACACTGGAACAAAGTATCAGCAGTTAAAAAACCTGTTATAGCTGCTGTAAATGGATTTGCTGTGAGTAATCAAATGTTTTTAACCTCCTTATTTAAAAGAGCTGTACTTATATTTTCCATCAAGCAGCTATTTTATTTTATCATCTTTATCTTCTGCTTGTAGCTTGGTGGAGGTTGTGAATTGGCCATGATGTGTGACATAATTTACGCTGGAGAAAAGGCACAATTTGGACAGCCTGAAATCTTGCTGGGAACCATTCCAGGTAAACATTTGTTCGTACTTCGGTCTCTGAGTCAGTGAAAGTGGTGTTATGAGTTTTGACAGGTGTTTGATCTTGCAGTGAAATGGGAGTAAGTTTGTTTTTACATAGACATTTTCCTGTACAGGTGCTGGTGGTACTCAGAGACTCACTCGGGCTGTGGGTAAATCTATGGCCATGGAGATGGTCCTCACAGGAGTCCGGATTTCAGCACAAGAGGCCAAACAATCTGGTGTGTATTTTAAAGCAGGGGTGCACAACTCCAGTCCTGGAGGGCCGGTGTCCAGCACCTGCTCAAACACACCTGATCAGACTTAATTAATTGCCAGGTTTAGTCGGTGTGTTTGAGTAGGGTAACCTCCAAACTATGCTGGCCCTCCAGGACTGAGTTGTGCACCCCTGCTTTAAACAGTATTATTGTGCTTTTTCACATCCATGTTGTTATTCAGGTTAAACTTGCATCATGTCAGAGGCAAATATTGTTTTTTATGTATTTCAAACTCTGTTTCCTATACATGTTCAGCCTTCTGTAATAGTATACAACCTCCACAGGTCTTGTAAGTAAAGTGTTTCCTGTGGACCAGGTGGTATCTGAAGCAATCAAATGTGGTGAGAAAATAGCCAGCAATTCCAAACTTGTATCAGCAATGGCAAAGGAGGCTGTTAATGCAGGTGAGTGGGCTTTGGATTTCACATATGTAGTTATTTTCCAGATAGATAAAAATGTAAGGGATGTCTACCTTTATTAACCCCATACATAGTCATGAGTCTGCCGTTTTATTACACACTTCTATAACCTAAGAATAGCTCAACCAGATTACGTTAAAGCCTTTGTAGTTACTAACCCTGGGATTTTAAGGGCTTAACTGTTGTTGAACTACATTTCTGTAGTTTTTGGGCATGTTTACATTTGGCAGGTTTTGTCTGACTGAACCAAACCCTGGTGCAGTTGTTTGTGTGGTTAAACATCCTGAGCACAAAATGAACCATCTTCTTGAATGAATAAATCTTTTCCGATGCTTTTGACACATGTATTTCATTATCTCTTCACAAACTCCTTATTATTAACAAATTATCATAATAATTAACCCACAATCAAAGCCACAAAACAAAAGTTTAGTGGACATTGTCCCAGTTAATTTATGTACACTAACAAACTAAAATACAGCAGTGTGTAATTTCATGCTTTGCATTGATGTGTGTTTTTATGTAACAGCTATCCTTTATTTTCAGCATTTGAACTGTCGCTGACTGAAGGCAATCGATTAGAGAAGAGATTATTCTATTCAACCTTTGCTACAGTAAGTTTTAGAATTAAACTCATTAAAGACTACTTTCTTCTCCTGTGAGAGAGATTCTAAAGATTGGACTTGATGTTTCTTAAACAGGAGGACAGAAAAGAAGGCATGACTGCATTTGTTGAGAAGAGGAAAGCCGCATTCCAGGACAAGTAGAGGTTCAGATCAGAAGACGGTGATTTTTTAAATACACTAATGTTTAGTCTGTGATTAGATGCTGTTACTGAAAGACTGTACTTTGCCTTAACTTGATTTTATGTCAAGTGTGAAATCAGGTGATCAAGAGCTCACAAACTGTACAAGAAGCATCACAAGCTGAAATGTCATGACATTTGCCTTTTCTCTCAATCTAAATTCATCATTCACATTATCATTGAGAGATGTTCTGTTTAATGTTCAGTAATTGTCTTCAAATAAAACTCATTTCGAGAAATGTATCTGACTAATTTCTAAAATATGTATACCCTGGTTTAGTAATAAACACTGTAAATACCAGCAGAGGACATAAATACCCTCAGTTTGGTGTTTTCCCTGCTCTGACACTCCAATTTAACATGGCAATTAACTGAAGAGCTAATGGGTTAATGAATGATGTGTGTTTGAGCAGGAAAATCATCAAATTCTGCGGGAATTCAACCTTACAGGACTGGAGTTTGCCATCGCTGGTCTAGTGTTGAAATGCTGTCTATTTGTAATACACTTTTGTTTCATATTTAGACAGAAATTTCATTTAGGGAGTAAATGTATTAGCTTGGCTGGAGGAAATATTTGTTTACCTCTACTACAACGCTGAACGTTTTGTAAAGATGTAATGCCATTAAAATTCAAATAGTTTGAGCAGATGGGTTCATGTTGCAGTTGCTTGGTTTGAACACTAGGTGGTGATATTAGCGCACAGATCTGTTATTTTCAGCGATCTGTAATACAGGCTGGATGATGGAGCAGAAGTGTTCCTCAAAGTTGGCGGACAGTAAAAATTAGTAGGAAAATACGTCTAGTGCTTTAAAATGCTTTATCACACAACTTCCCCCGCTCTAGATCTATTTTCATATTTAAGCATTTTGGACGTTTAATGGCTATTTTAGTGTGCAGACAGCAGGGCTCAGTTTCAGAGCTGTTGACGTTAAAAAGGCGAATATTGTTTCGATTCAGTCTGTTGAGAATTAATTTGTTGTAATAACTAAATATGAGTGACTAAATTCAGCAGCACATGAGAACATTTACCTCAACGTAGATTATTGGGGTAATTTCTGTAAAGCTTTTTCCCTAAAGAGAGCAAAATCTTGCGTGTAAAATAAAATGGAGGATAATGAAATGCTGTCACATCTGCCACTCATTTAATTATATGGTATATTAGGGCAAAATCAGTAACTGATTAAATACTGAAGTAAGTAATAATAGATCAAATCAAAAATGTATCTGTAATTTGATGCGTTCATTCAAAACATTGCCTTCATCAAAGCCGTTTCCAACTTTAATCATTTCAGATGATTCCTCTGTGTTAACAGAGAGGATCCGGCTGTAGACTAACTCAGAGTAAGTGAGGAAAACCTCATGATCATCTATAAGAAATTAGCCACTCCACGCACAGGCCCGTTTGGGCGACTGGATTTCTAACAGCGTTTTTCTTAGTTTTTTGTGTCCTTTATCGTTTTAAAATGCAGTGTAGGTCACAGAGGAGCAGAGCGAATTTAATTATGAACCCAGTCTTTCATTTCTACAGTCTACTCAGACTGCTCCTCACTGAAGATCTCGGGGCTCCTTCTCACGGCGACTCCCCAGATCTCCTCCAAAGTCCATAGCCTAATTGATTTCAATTTTCATTCACTGTTTCCCTTCAGCCGGCTTTCTTCTCTGGCCCGAGGAACAAAACCCCGTTCTGAGAGAGGTGAATGAAAACCTTTCTCCTCACCGAAACGGCCCAGAGGTCTTCATAAAAGCGCGCGAGGCAGCGGAGGCGCTTTGAAGTGCGTCCCCCGCTAACGAAAAGGTCAAAATAATAAATGTAGACCCAATTGAGGCGCTCAGCTCGGACAAAAGAGGCAAAACGTTACATTTTGGCAGAGGCAGCCCCTCATAGCGTGATAAACTCATTAAAAAACAGCAGAACCAAAGCGAGAGCAGCGTGGTTCCCCCGCTTAAAGAAAAGAGCTTTCAGACTCATCAGACACTCTTGGCTCCGAGAAGTCTTTTCCTCCTTCCATCATTCTCTCTCTCTAACTCTCTCTCTTGCTCTCTCTCTCTCTCTCTCTCTCTCTCTCTCTCTCTCTCTCTCTCTCTGCAGCTGCCTTAGTCTCTAAACTGCACACGTTGTACTTTTAACTTTTTCTTACGCAGCATTTTATTATATTGTACTATTGTATTGTCTTAATTTATTTATTTAATAAGGTGGGTGCTGTGCTAAATTAGTTATATTTACTCTCTTAAGCAGGAGAGGTTCGTAGAATTTCGATTAATTTTTTCAAATTAAAATCATTCATACTCCGGCTGGTTGAGGGAAACTGTCTATTTCCAGGGGGGGTCAGCTGTTGAGATCACCTGGTCTGCGCTGCTGTTGACCACACCTCCAGCTTTTTTCAAACCAAAAGGATCCCGAAAAAAAGTAGAGTGTAAAATCATCCACCATCCACTGTCTTTAACAATAATAACGCTATACATTTTTGTACGCACACACACACACACACACACATATATATTTATATATATATATATATATATATATATATATATATGCTTTATTTGATATATATTTGATATATTTGGGGATCGGAGTAATATATTTTAATATATCTGCAGTCTGAGCTTTCCCCGCTCGTTCACATACGGGCTTAACTTCCCCCTGTATTTCCCTTTCCGCTATGCACCGAGAGGATATTCAGACTTTTGTTTTTCAGGCATTTTTGTTGTATACGTTTTTGTGAATGTCCTAACGCTGCTCAGCTCAAACACCATAACGTTTATATTTTATGAATAGGCCTATTCTCTGACGTCTGGCATTGTTTGATATTTCCTCAGGAAAACACTTTCATTAACACTTCCATTTTTCTCAAGCGACCTCTTTACTGTAAAAATTATACTTTTTAAATTTTGTGCGTAAAAATGGTGAATTGTGCTGCATAAAGACTCCGCAGACAGACCGAAGATCTGAGTGATGCTGCTAAGCCGCTTAACATCTGAGGAAAAATCACAGCGCATTAGTAACAGTGTATATGATTACATTTAACTGTTGGGCTTTACTGCTGTGGAAGCTCATTAGAGATGAGGACACTGGTTTACTATCGACAGAAAATTACACCCTCTGCTGATTAAAGACAGTGAAGTTGGCTGTTCCTGTCACTTTAACGGCGATACTTTCCGGTTTTCTCCTCCATTGGGACGTGCGGACAGGTTTAGACGAGCACGTTTTCAGCAGCAGATTCTCTCCAACCGGTGCGAAAAGCAGCTTAACAGCGCGGCTGCTACAGAGACGAGAACGCGGCCCGCGACGCGAACGCGCATCTCTCTGACCAATACAGGAGCGCCACAGTGTCACGTGACTTCTTTCAGTTTCGAGTGTGTCTTGTGTTGCTGTTTGAAATGGTTGTGCTAAAAGGAATCCCGTCTATATTAACGCCTGAGTTACTGTACGCTCTGGCGAAAATGGGCCATGGAGACGAGCTGGGTAAGCAGCTTATAAGCAGCAGCCCTTAAACCATCACTTACTTACTGATGTGACTGTTGGCTTCACTCTGGTTAGGTGTACTGTTGACTACAGTGTAATGACTCTAATGACTCCGTGGTTGCCAGCAGGTCTGCAGCCTGTATAGCTTTACATGGTGTAGAATCCCCAAACGGATTTAGTTCTGAGTGGATATTTGATGAAGTGCGTGTCGTTTCAAATCAGTTTTGCGATATTCCCCTGATAGCCTGTATGCCTAGACGATAACACGTCTCTTGTGGGCTATAAACATTACAGGCTACTCCACCGTGTACGCTGTAAACTTTATTACCACTGTAGGTTGAAGGCCTACTTCTGCAAATGTACTTTCTTATGCTCTATAGATGTACTTTCTTTGTCGGTTACAAGTTGCACTGACCTGCAAATGCCTTCAGATTATGCATTAAAAATGCACTGACAAATGTGTAGGCTACTGAAAATTTCCACTTTGCAGGCATATTATGATTATATGTATGTATTAATTAATTAACTAATTCATTTATTATTTGTAAGTATGTTCTGTAGTATTTCTTCATGATCATTTTAAGCTCAGAAAATTTGCATTACATATGTTGATTGTGTTGTCATGATTAGTATATTGTTTAGATATGAGATATTCTAGTGCCATAACTGTCTCTGAATTATGGAGTATCATGCACTGCAGATTTGGTGTTGATATGGTATCAGTTCATGACATTTATGTGGGTTTTACAATTAAGTCAGCAAAACTCTCTTTATCCTGTAATTTTAAACAATAATTTTTATTTGTTACTTTGCTTTTAAGACTTTTAGGCTGATATATGTAAATGACGTCTGATTGTCTGCTCCGTGTTGTTCCACATTCAAAAATCAGGCGGGTCTGAAACACTATATGTAACACTTCTATGTGAATGGGCTTGGCTAAACTGCCGTAGGCTGAGTAGGCAAATACATATAAAAATTTGCTAGGTGGCTTGTGACCTCACAAGAACAACAAATTCAATAATGGACTGCAGAGTGAGGGCTCATTTTGAAATTCTAACAGTGTTATATACTACAACAGTTTTCATTATATGTTCCTTTTAAACTAAAGAAGAGACTGGGAGAGACTGACCTGTAGAGCATTTTTCTTGCTCCTCTTTTTTCTGTCTGTAGTTCTTGCAGATGCAAATTTCCCTGTCTCCTCTGTTTGCAAATCTGGTCCAATGGAGATACGAGCTGATGGTAGGTATCTCTCTGTGTGTCAAACAATGTCAACCGATAAGGAAATAAACGTAAAGTGACATGCTGTCTGTAGAAAAGACCTGTAAAGGACTAGTTGGTGCACATACAGATATGTCAAAAGTAATTCTGGATTTAAGTTATGCATAACACAATATTTTGGCTTGTTTTATGGTTTTAGGTTTGCATATTCCAGAGCTTTTGGAAGCGATATTGAAGCTTCTTCCTCTTGATACCTATGTTTCACATCCAGTGAGTCAGAATCTCTGTGGTGAATCATTTTATTTTCTAATTCAAAACGTTAGACTATATTACAAATTTGACTCATTTCAATATATTGAATTTAAAATTATCTGTATTTTCAAAACATGCACAAATATAAATTAATTTTTTAAAGCTACATGAGGAGCTGAGGAAGGTTTGTGAGTATATCAGTCACTGAATAAGGCCTTTCCTTTCAGGCAGCTGTCATGGATCTTGTGGAGAGTGACAGGCAGCGGGGTTTGCAAGTGACTGTGTGGCTTCGCTACTCTGAACTTCTGAAACAAGCAGGATCACATGTAAGTTGCCCAGTAAAGGTCTATGTCTCAACAGTAATTAACTAATAGCTCTCACACCCTATGACCAAATCACCATTTTTGACCAAATTTATTTCAATAAGGCCTCTTAACATTGCAGTTATGAACAGTTTTAACCAAGGAGACTCTTCTGAAAAATATATGGAATTTGCTTTTCACTTGTTTTTGCAGGGGGATTTGGATAAAGTTGAACGGTTTGCTTTCTATGAACGTGCCAAGAAAGCTTTTGCTGTGGTGGCAACAGGGTACAGTGTTTTTTTCCATGTCACGGATCTGTACCACTTTAATTTCTGTTTCAGTATATTAATGGATTTTTATGTCTCTGACAGGGAGACGGCTCTGTACGGCAACCTCATCATCAAGAAAGGAGTCATTCCTCCTGGAGAACTGTGCTGACCACTGACACATACTACATACTGACAGAGGAACAGAGACAGATTTTAAAAAATGATTGAAGTTTTGCATTATACTTACTTTTGCATATAATTAATATTGTGCAGCATATTGGAAACCTGCAGTGAATGTAAATGTGAATCTGAATGTTAACTGGAATGAATGCTTTGATAATAACTTTGTTTAGAAATCAAGCTGGTAGACATCAGTAGTCCTCATGCTACAGGTGTCAGCTGGGTGGAACCATGAGCTGTTTTCCAACGTTCCCAAATATCTAAGCCAGACTTTTTCTTGTGCCAGCCCCAGTGTTGGTGCTACAAAACTGATTGGAGTGCAGCTTTGCACAATTACACAGCTATTAGCGCAATACTAACCACATTACTCGTGTGTAAATTTGAAAATACATTTTAAATAAACTTGTTTTTACTCTAACTTTGTTTCTGTTGGAATTCCAACTGAAAGAACAGCACAGACCAGCATACATTTCAACCAGGTCAAGGTGGGAGATGATTTGATCAGTGTTATGATTTATTTAACAAGAACAGTAACAATGACCGCACAACATGCTCATCACCAGTTAAACCATTAGTCATCCAGTAGTCACCTGTGTGTTTTTTTTAACTTTTATTTGTGATTTTATGCCTTTAAATGTAATTAAATTACTCAAATGAAACTTCTCTTTCACATACAAAGACCTCATTTAATAATTAGTTGAACATAACGAATCCTGCATTATTTTGTACTCAATATTTTTGTTTAGCTGTGGTAGAGCTTATCTAGGTCTTTTTCTGGTTCTTTGTAAACTATCTTGAGCTTATTGTCAAAAGCTTGTACCACTGGAGCCTCCAGTACAGACCCTGATGGAATGTGTCCATGGTACAGGTCATCTTTGTCCTCTTCTGGGCTCATGTACATGAGCTTTTCAGATGGTTCTGCTTCTTCAGCCTTGTCTTTCAGCTCTCCAACAAGCTTCTCAGGCTCAGAATGGTACAGCTCATCCATATCCTGTTCAGGCTCCTCATACAGCCGGGCCTTGCCGTAGGACTGTAGCTGGACATCCCTGTCTAGCTTGCCAGCTCTGAGCTCAGAGGGATGGTAGAGCATGTCTTTGTCCTCTTCGGGCTTGTCGTATTTCTGCTGGCGAAATTGTTTCACAGCTTTCCATATTAACATGCCAGGGTCAATGTCAGCGTCGGTCAGATCCAGGTCCTCCAGCGGTTCAACTTCTTTTAGTCCAAATGTCATCTTCTCATTAAATTCATCAGACCTAGTGTGGAGGAAAGATGTGAAGATGACAGACTGATGATATGGTTTTTGCTGAAGTATGAATGTCTAGGGTTTTTTAAAAAGGAATTTATTTATTGTATCTGAGGGAAAGCTCTTACAACCTTGTTTCTTGAAGTGCTGTATCATGTTCTTTTCCCTGTGCAAGGAGCAGATCATAAGATTATGATTTAATGATACTGATCTTGAGATATTAAGTGGTGTAAATGGTGTAATGCCATCTGTCTTATCAGCATTCTTGGAAACAGCTCTGCCTCAGATTTATGTTCTGGACTTTACTCATCAAGAGAGACCAGAAAATGATCTTTCTTCTGATACAGAACTCTGAAAGGAACTTTCAAATTTATTAAATTTATAATTTTTTTTACATTAAATGTGTGGCTTGCTCTCAATAATGTTCTAATAATTATACATTATAGCAGGTGCAGCTGTTCTCCCTGTGTTCAGTGTTTAGTCTCCACTGTTTACATTGCAGATACACTGCCATCTGAAACCAGTGGGGCAGATAAATTTATATGTAAATGATTCTAGTATCCCAGTCCGGTGCAATTGTAGAGGTTTCAAAAATTAGTAGGACTCTAGGAAGCTGTAAATAAAAATGAAGAAATTTTAGATATGAGTATTACGTTTAATAAATGTTAATATAATTCCTGATAATACATGATAATACATCATATTTGATCAAATCTCAAGGCAGATAAATTTGAAAATTTATGTAAATAGATAACTTCAGCTTATTAATTATCATTTAATAAATTCTTGCTCACAAATTCTTTTGAAATATTTAATAAAAAATAGTGTTCTATTAAATATCTTTTGACATAATAATAATTTGTGACAAACTGTGATATTTAAATCCTCAGTGTGTAAGTTATTATGGTAATGGCAAGTGATTTCAAACTTTTGTATGGTAAATAAGTATTTAGATCTTTTAAATCTGGTTTCTAATGTAATTGGCTGTCTTAATGTTTTGCCTTCAGAGTTTTTCTATAACTTTTGGGACAGAAATTTGCTCTTAAATAAGTGTAGCTCCAAACACACACCTGAAACCAACATCAGTCTATGTGAGTGGTAGAGATATTTGTGTTTTAATGCAGACGACCCAGAGATGATCATGGAATGAATGCCTCAATGTATTAAAGCTGAATTCAACAACACAAACATTAAATTCACCGAGTGAATAAGTACCACACAATCAAATATACATACCCATGATTTATATGGGCTTGCTGAGCTGCCATACAGCAGCACTGACAAGCAGATCAGAAGACAAAACCTTTAATATGAAAAGAAATATTGACTCCATTATTCATAATTCAAATATCTCTATACACAATATCATATAGTTTCTCTAGCACAAAGAAACACGTGGGAAACCCATTTTTCTAAATCCTGAGTCACATACCTGAACATTGTGGCTTGTTGTTGCTCCTTAAATCTTAATACCACAATGATTATTGAGCTGGATCAGCACAGGGATGTGGTGCACAGCAGAAGTTGTCATAAAAAGAGTAAAGTTCATTTAGTTAATAGACTTTTGATGATCTTTGGACCTCAGCAGTACACAGCAGCATTATGCAATCATAAGCAATTTCATATTTCCATAGTACTGTAAGCCTTAAGTACTTTTAAATACATTTGTTAGCATTCTTTCAGTCACATTTTTACATATTTATAAATGTGAAACTAAGATTGCTTACACAGTTAAGTGTGTATGAGCAAGGCAATCAAATTTGTAAGGCTGATTTAATACAGTGCCTACTTGTGCAAAACTACCCTTATCAAATCTCTAACATCATTTATGACCATGTGTATGGCTGGGCTTTTCTGAAAGTATGCCATTGTTGAATTTTAACAGAACACAACTGTTTATAATTACCAATAAACAGAGCCAATAGAACAGGCTTATTGGTTGGCATTTCTTCTGTGATGTGAAAACAGGAGACATTCGACAAGGTCATTCTCAAAGAATAGCTTCATATACATCACTAAATTTATCACAATAGAAATAGATCCAGTGAGAATATTTACTGATATCTTAGATGTGTGTTGCATTACTTCATGCATAGTTTAAAAACCTTGACCAGTATTAAGTGGACAATATGAAAAAAAAGGGATCACACATTATATTTTTCAATATTGAAAAGTGACAGGCAGAAAACAAGCATCCCCAAAATGACAACTTTACAGGAGAGGGCACAAACCTTCTTTACTTTTAATGTACGTTAATGTAAAGAGATCTTTTTCCGAGCAATTTTGGAGCATTTCTGGTGGTGCAATCAACATGAAATTTTCACACAACGTCAAGGGCAGACTCTTTGCTCAAATGATGTAGAAAAATGAAAATCGAAAAAAATGGAGATACTTGGGTTTTTTGGACAGCGACAATATACAAGCCACATGTAGAGGATTGTCTTTGTTTTTTTCTATGTCTGTGTATAAATATCAAACCGATTAACTCAAATTTGACTGAATGATGTTTTTGATTGTGTAGACCTTTTTGTTTTCTGTAGACAAAGTACCTCTTGTAATAGATGTATTTGCCAAACTAGAGTGACTAAGGGCATCCACATCTCCACACCTCCACACCCACCCCCCTGCCGAGCTGTGTGGGGGAGATTGAAGACAGATGAGCGTGTTGTGATCTCAGTGCCAAGCACTTGGCCTCATTAGCCCGATCAGCCTCAATAACAGGATGATGTTTACCCAGAATGCTGGGTAGAGCTGAGGAAATGGAGTCAGTCTGAGTCACTCTCACCTGCAAGGCCTTGTTTACTAGCTAAATGGATGGACTCCTCAGAGCAGTGGCTTTATAGGGTTGCCAGTTGTCAGAGAGGAATTTCTGAAAGTTTAGCTGAAACAAAATTGAGCATGATGATAGGATATCATTCTTCTGTTTTAATCATCCCTTATTCTTTCTTCTTTATTCACATTGCTCTTGTAGTGTTATTGTTTTGCTATCCAGTGTCGACCAGAGGAGGATGGGTTTCACGTTTGAGTCTTTGAGTTCCTTTCAAGATTTCCTACTCTTGCACTGAAAACTCTTGGCTTTTTCACTTGGGGCTCAGATTTTTTGAAACAACGTCCGTTGTGAAAGAGCACAATACAAATAAATTTTAATTAAACTGAATTGAATAATCCTTAAAGCCATGGATGTCACTGGGCCAATTTTAGGGGGCTTTAGCGGTCTCTGTTTTTACTAGCTCTTTCTGCAAAGTAAGGTCAGTCAGCTGAAGACAGGATTAGACAGACTAAAACTTCACTAAAATAAACATTAGACCTTGTTAAAAATCTATAATATACAGTAACAAGAGTGAATATACCCACCTACAATATGGATTTGAGGCAAATTCTAGTTAGTATAGCTGGCTATTGTTTTTTATTTGTTTGTTTGTTTTTCTCGGTTGCTTGTTAGCTAGGTTAGCTAACGATGGGTTTACATGAGGCAAAGAAAAGCGGTTAGGCTAACAGTAACATTAGCTAGCTAGCTTTGTTTTTTATTTAGCTAACACAAGTATTTGTCGTATATTGTTGTTTACACAAAGGTAATGTCAGTGAAAAGGACATATGATGCTGATCATAACACAGTTTCTATATCTGTAAATTCCTCCACCAGTAGATGGAAATTAAGAAGCACCTGCTCCGTTAAAGGTCAGTCAGATGAGAAGATTTTTACCAGTTAAAACAAACAAACAAAAAAATTGATTGATTTCTCATTATTTCCTTCAGGTCTTGTAAATCTGAGTTTAATAAAAATGATGTATCACTAGACAGAAGAAGAGAGGGAGAGAAAGAAGGTGAAGGAGCCTGACAAGACTGAAGGAGCAGATCTGATGTAGGTTAGTGATCAAGATGAGAGAGAGAGTTGTTTAAGCTTTCAGTTAAAATTTGTACTGAATTTAATTGAGCTTAACTGAGAAAATATATTATTTGTCACTGTGGCCATGAAAGTATGTCACTTAGCTTATTAAACATGCATACAGAACAAAATCACACTCTTTCTGATTGCACCAACTGAGATTGAACTGATCTATAATCTGATTGTTTGAATAATATATTTAGGATCTTGCAGCTTATCTAAGAGAAAGGAAATCGCATTCCTTGACTTCAGGACCTTTGCTTGATCTGTGCCTGTTGTAAATGTTGGATATAGTGTTTAAGTCATGCTAGCTCTGTACTTTATACAAACTACAAGGAGGCAGATCTACTGTCTGACAATTTGTCCAAATAGCTATTTATGATACACTTTTTTGGCTGTTGCATAATAATAATAATAATAATAATAATAATAATAATAATAATAATGATAATAATGACAGCTGGTGTTTTCAAATGGTACAAAAAGAAGATGAAAAAATGAAGTCAACAAGTTTTGATAACAAAAATATGCTTACTTTCAAGTTATTTACTTAACCTGTATCTGCATTTTCATGATGTCTGCTGATGAGGTCTTAATATAGACATTCTTCCTGTCCCCATTTATATTAAACTGACTGGAATGTAATTCCAGGAGCATTTGTTTAAAATGCTCTATTTATGATTATACATCTGCTTTTTGTGATGTAATTATTAGATTAAATACTCTAAGCTCATCCAAAGGGCAGGGATTATACCAGTTTGGTCGGTCACCCGGAAACTGAAACTAGCCCACCACCGCAAGCTCTAGGGCATCTCTTTACAGCAGCTTCTTTATCATCTCTTACTAACATGGAACTTACATATGCCTGTAATTAGACTGCTTGTGCTTTTAATGTAGCGCAGACCCCATACATGCCTTTGATCTTTACTGTACAGCAGTCATTAGTGACGGAAAACAACAGAAGGAGGCACAGTACTCACATGCTGGAGCAAATGCAGTATTGATACTATTAACTGCCAAAATTTTGAATTCTGTCAGTTAGGAATGACTTTCTGATCAAATAACAGGAAAAGGCAAGCATGCCTAATATATCACACTGTGGAGACAATGACCTGATTATAGTACAGAACATTCAGTATTTGAAGGCTACCTACATAGGGACTTCATGACACATGCATATGCATTAAGCGTAGCATATTTATGGGGCAATACCTGAATATTTATGGACAGCATATGCCAGTAATCACAACACTATAAATCAGTTCTTTGGAAGATTTTGATGGGTTTGAAGCAGGGTTTGTACTCTGCTTTAAGAATTTAGTCCAAATAAGTAAAAGCAACTTACAAACTGAGGTAAATAGATTAAAATGACTTTTAATATATTTTTTATATTAAATATATAATAATATATATAATAATATTTATTTTTTTATATTAAATATAATATATATTTTTTAGCTTGCTAAAAAAGTAAAAGGCAACAATGAACAATTCAGGCAATGAAGCCCAGGGAACTCAACATCTGTAAAATCAGGCTGAAAGACTAAAAGTAAATGCGAGATGGTTGTACAATGCCACAGGCCATTTACTCAGGTCCAAATGTGCTGAGGCATTAAGTGCCTCGAACTTAAGTGATCATTATTTCAATGAACAATTTCTATTAAAGAGATCTGAGTTGGCTGCAGACATGAAAAGCAGAATTAGCTGTTCATGTCTGCAGTCACACAGCTTTCCTTAACACAAAAAAACTGTACTTTTGCACTAGAAATACATAGAACTGATATATGGTGTTACTATCTAGGCCACTGCCACCGTTCCCAAGTTCTACTATGGGAATGGTTTTTCATAACAGTATTATAAATGAAATAAATGTGTGTCATTTTATAACAATGTATCGTTTACTTCAGAAAACATCTTATGTAATCTTGTGATTAATGACATAAGCTGTTATAAAGCTTAAATGTTATAAATATATTATTCAATACTTATACATGTGTTATGAAGTCATTGTGTGGGCAAGCCATATGGTGTTACAAAAAGGCAACAAGGAGAGGAAGATAAACATTAAAGTGTTCTTAAATATAGGATAGCAAGTTCAACTCTGAGCAGCAATGTGTAACAATGAACACAAAATCTGATTTTTTTTAACATATTTATGTTTTAAGTAATAATTACTAGCTTCTTATTTGACTATGTCTCAGCACATTTTGACATGAGTAAAAGGCTGTGGCATTGTGCAACCATCTTTCTTTGAAAAGCTTTTACTTTTAGCCTTGCCTGTTTTTACAGATGTTCAATTTGTTGGTTTTATTGTCATAATTGATAACTGACATTTTAGATATATAAAAAGAGATATTAAAAGTGATTCTGATCTATTTACCTCAGTTTGTGTCTGTTACTTTTAGTTGCTCGGACCAAATTCCTGAAACAGAGTTCATGTTTGTGAAACAGCTGCTTCAAACCCCAAAACAATTTCTCCTTCTGCAAAACAATGACTCAAAAATGCCATAGAACACTGAAAAAATCAATAGTTTGTATATAACATACATTAGCAATGAGTTTACATGTGTTATGAATCTCCAAAAAGATATACAATGCTATAACAAACAGTACTTAACAGTTATGGCAGGAAACAACTTTTGAATGGACCCTAATTCCAGTA